AACTTAAATGAAAATATTTCATTCCCATTTTCATTTCCATTTTACACATAGCTTAAAAAAAATCAAGCAAAGAATTTCATCGAGATTGATCATTTAATTTCAAAAAAGTGAAATTGATTATTTTCTTGTGTGCCAAAAAAAAAAAAAAAAAGAATCTTGAACGCCTTAAAAATCCCGATTTTAATGAAAATTTGCGTATCAAAATTTTGATTTGACGATGAAAATTTTAATGTAAATCTACTATTCAAACTTTCACTTGTTCATTTATATTTTTTTTCTTTTTACTTCGAAACGAGAAAACCACCGAAACCAAGTTAAGGATTCCATTCGATCCAATTGTTTCTCCCAAAAAAAGAAAATTCTCCATCCTCGTCGTTTCACTTTAGACTCAAAGTAGTTTTCACGGGTGTGTAGAAATATCTCCGCTACCGAACGGTACCTTTGGGATGCATCGAATTCGATAACCCTTTCTCTTTTTCTTCTCTCTCTCTCTCTCTCTCTCTCTCTCTCTCTCTCTCTCTCTCTTTCTTTCTTTCTTTTTTTTTCCTTCCTCGGCCGGCACACGTGAGGGTACTACTCATTTCCAGAGACAAGCCACGTCCCGGTTATAACCGTGTCGAAAATCGATACGATCGATTCGCTCCAATTTCAGCAGGGGTGTATCGCGTTCCATCGGATCCGTATCATCTCCTTAGCGGATCGTTCGCTCGGGCGTACGTACCTACCATCACCACCATTACTACTACTACTACTACTACTACTACTACTATACCCTTCGCCTACCTCGCATTTTAAACTGCTGATTCGACGGACGACGATTTATCTCGGACAGTGCAGCGACAGGCAAACATTATTACGCCTTGTTATCGAGAGTTGGAGCGCGACTACGTGCTGTTGTCCACCCTCGTTCCGTATCTCTTCCTCTCCCGCTCTTATTTTCTCGCGCCTAATGTCGATGATCCCCTCTTCCTCCTTCTTTTCTTTTTCACGAGAAAACGAAGGGAAAAAAATTCTCTCTCATTAGTGTCATTGATTTACCTCTCGTGATTTACCTTTTCCTTCTCCGCCAATTCGAGAGCTATTTCTCCCGGGGTGGAAATTTTATTTTCGTATTGAAAGGGTTTAAAAGGGACGAGGGAATTATTTTGTGTAATTTTCTTTTTCTTTCTTTTCTTTTCTTTTCTTTTCTTTTTTTTTTTTTTTTTTTTTTTTTAATTGTTTTTGTTGCCACACAAAGTGACGTTCGTTTAATTCGGTTGGAGATATTAATCATTGTTTCAGGAAGGATTAATTTCGTTTCCTTTTCGAGAAGAAGGAAGAACGAAATTGAAGTTCCATTTAGTTTAGACTTAGTTCGGGAGGAATATAATTACAGGGCGTTTAAATTTCTTTAGGCGAGCAGATGTTATCAAATAACGTTTCTGAGTGAGAAATCACACGGAAAGTAGTTTCGAAGTTCTTACGTTGATTAATTTTGATCGATTAATCTCTACTTTTCCTCGCCCAAATCAAATATTAAAGAAATAAGGATTCGATCAGAAACGTATTCGTTATTTATAAATGCGATAATCATTTCGTTATTTTGGATAATATTATAATATTCATTTTTTTTTTTTCAATCGATCACGCGACTTTTATCGTGTTTACAACAATTCCCAATGATAAAATGAAAATGATTGGCCGACGAGTACACATCCAACGCGATGAAATTTTTAAACAATTTTTTTTTTTTAATTCTTCTCGTTTCCGAATATCAGGATACATATATCGAGATAAATATTGATACCAACCGCCAACTGCATTAATCCTCAATGTTTATTCTCCATTTTTCCCCCTCGATTTAATCAATTCACGGGGGGAGCATTTAAATTTTATACCCCATCTCTAACGGTCTAATTTTCATCAGACACCATTTATAATCACTTTTCCAATAATCATAAATTTTTATTCATCCACGATAAGGATTCGCTGGAATATCCTCTCGAAAAGCCGGAATCGGATCGGTTTAAGTCGTGTTCACATCGGAGGGGAGGGGGAATATCGCGTCATCACCTTCGAAGAAACAAATCCTGACAGAGAAGGAATCGCATTATCGAGGCTCTCACAACTCTCTCGATGAAACTTTCCAACGACGATCTCTCTCCCTCTCTCTCTCTCCCTCTCTCTCTCTCGATATTTCCACGTTTATGAGAGATCGAGGATCCCCCTTTTCTTTCGCGGGCCAACCAACCAACTTTTCACTTAACGGACCAAGCGTCGCAAAATGGAACATTGGATTTCAATTAACAATTCCGTTCCGGTATTAATCGGGGCGAGGGGAGGGGCGGATAGAAGTCGAAATAAACGTGCGTAGCCGTTTCCCAACTTTCCTAAGAATGTAATTATTCACTGCTGAGCCCTTTATAATAATGACAAATGGCTCTGGCCGCCGCCCGGTGTCCTTTGTGTGTCTCGTGCAACGCAACGCCTTCGAAAACGCCAGACACTTGCAGACAAACCTGCCACGCCTAACGATTCTTTAACTTCTTCAAGTATCAAACTCGGATGGGGAGGGGGGCACCGACTGCGAGCACTGTATTAAACTGCAGACGGAGAATTTCCGCGAGACGTTTCGTTCACAGCTGGCCAACAGATATAATGGATTAATCCTTGAACGAGTTATAATGGTCAGATGGATACACGGTGCATTGAATTGAATTCTTTTTTCTTGGTCAATTATTGTTTTTATTCTAATTGGTTGATCATCTCGTTATGATTATCGTTGATTCAACTTGTTTAATAAATGACTGATTTGTTAACTATTTTGTTAATTGTTAATTATAATCGTGTCTGGTAAATTTATATTTATATTTCCTTATATGCATGAAAAATTGACTGACTTGCATTATTTATTTAACTGTAATTTTAAGCTTATTCTATTTGTTATTTTATTTAGCTGACTCGTTATTACATTTTAGGCAAATGCTTTTGTCACTAGATCACGATTGTTCGTCCATGACTAACTTCTACTACTTATCTCACTCCCATCTTATAACTGTCTTATTCTACTTATTAAAAGGACGATCTGTACAACTTGTCAGATGAGTGACTTAATTATATTATTAAACATTAATTAGATTGTCCTTTTTTCCACGATTCATTGATTTGTGTTACTTATCTACCAATTAAATATTATATATTAATAATTATATATTAATAATTGTTACTTATCTACCAAATAAAATTATCTTATTATTCTTATTATTCCTTTGGATTGTTTGACAACTATAATTCCTTGAGTAAAAATGTATTTGCATTTCATACAAAGTTTAAATCTTTATCCAATAGACTTGCATAGATGGGTCTTCTAAGAAAAAAACTTTTAGCTTTACCTCCGCAGGAGAAGATTGATCTTGTTTGCGTTTGGCTTTCAGATGAAATCCAGAAAGCTTTGATATCGTGACACCTTGGTTGTCGTAGACGAAGTTTCCATTTCTCGAGGATTTTTCTGCGTGCTTGCTGCCCTTGCAACACCTTGCTCTCTTTGAGCCGCGCGAAATCTAGGGAAGTGATTATCTCGAGAGGAGGCATGCATCAAGGGAAAGAAAGAGTGGGGTATAACCCATCCGTCTAGCCGAGAGGATGAAATTTGAATTCGAATACGTGGCGTGTTGCTGGGTGGAAAGGACGTCCGATTTACATTAAATTTACATTGCTATAACTTGGCTTCGTGTCTGAGATTGATATAGCCATGGCGAAAGATCTCTTTCTCCCGCCTCCGAATCTCTCGCAGGACTACGATTTCATTTGATGTAAGCTTCGAGGAAACGTTGATACATGTCCAGGTTGGCGAAGTCATCCATGGACTGTTTTTATCAGGCACCAGATTTGCCTAATCAGATTTCAAGAATTCCATTTTGACTATGGTTTTCTCGAACGAAAAAGATTCCTGCTCTCTTTCAGTTCAGATCTTTGCAATAGTTATTATTATTTCTATTGTGAGAAATGTGTTTGAGCATTTTCAATCTTTTAAAATAATATTTCATTGACAAACAGATGTCTGTCTAACGTTTTTAAAATAAAATTTGATCGTAGAAATACGATAAAAGATCAATTGCAAAATTCGAATATCTATCCTAAAAATTCCTTGGTAAAAAATCAAATTTATTATCGTATCTGTCCATATTCCGGCGCAGGTATCGAAGAATTCATCTATGTGATCCTCCAATATAGTTTGTGCATTTATAGATAAATACAGTGACATGTGGAGAACGAGACGAATATCGAATTTTATATAATCACGAAAGTGATTATATTTTAATTGATTTCGTAAGCTTTAAATCCTATTTTTACGAGAAATCGATAAATAGCTTATGGATCCCAATATTTTTTAGTGATTCTTCCTCTATATTTTTTGAATTTTACATTTAAAATAGTCAATTTTTCACTCCTTCAGTGTATGACCACTTTTATAATGATATTTGTATAATATATTTAATTAATTTACATTATGGGCTATAACTTATATTCCATAACTATATAAAAATAGAATGCATAATTCTATTTTTATAACTCCACACAACATTTCTTCAAGAATGCAAATTTGCAATTTATATTCTATCCACGTAGAAGCAAATCGCCTGATGGCGCCATTATACTTTTATTTTCACAATCATTCCTTCCTTCATCCTCGATACTTTAAACTAAACATTCGATATCGTACTCTCGATCCTCGATTCGTTCATACGAATTTGAGAACGTTTCGAATCTGAGAAATGGCGGCAAATTCAAATTCGAACGCGATTCGAAATCAGATTCTTGACAATTTCTCACTTCCAACTATTTCCCAGAATAGGCTCACATTATCCGAATTTCAACAGTGATAAATAGATACTGCAAACAAGAGAATATTTCTCTTCTGAGAACTTTCTTCTCCCTCTCAAGGTTTAAACAATATTTAAAATCACCGATTCCAAATCTCATCAAACTCATATAACGATCACATTTTCCTCTTATTCCAGGTGTCCTGGGTGCGCAGACGTGGCGACGAGCTCCACTTGCTCACGATCGGCCTCGACACGTACGCGAGCGACTCGAGGTTCTCGCTCGCCTTGGAGAAGCCGAATGATTGGCGGCTGCTTTTAAGTTCGGCGACCGAGCGAGACGGCGGTGTGTACGAGTGTCAAGTCAGTGCTCATCCCCCATTAATCAGAACTGTCCATCTGACGGTGTCAGGTGAGTAAATGTGTGTCCCCTGTGCACGTATCTCCATTGGCCAAATCGTATCGAGTTGTCAGTGTCGAGGGCCCACGCAGAATTTCATATCTATCATCGTTCCTCGGATCCGATGCTCTTTGATCTGACTACTTCGTTGTCATCGATAAATCAACCGATGGAACGTCGAAACAGAGACGTCGCGCGTGTTCATCAACCGTGTAACGAGAATTTGATCGTTATGGACGATTATAGGTTAGGTTAGATTAGATTTCTGGTTAAAAAACCCTAGGATAACGACGCAATCCCTGACATTCTTGCTTGAACGTGAATGGTGGTTGGGCAATGTTTAAAATGGAGAGATGTGGCGAGGCTTGATCCTGTTCGGGTTTATTAAACGCGAGAGGATTAGGGATTATTTAGGAGTTGAAATTGGGTCTGTGCGATTCGCGTTAATTTTGATGTTTTAGTTTTAGTTAGTTTCAGATAGAGATTTGGAATTACCGGAGATTAATTGTGAGTTTGTATCTATTTATTAAAGATTGGCTTATATATGTATGTATTATTGAATTTGAGAGAGATTGGTAGAGATTGATGGCTAATAGTGGATTAATCAATAAATTAAAGCGTAGAACGTGAGAGTTTTTCTTGTGTTGTCAATTCAATTTAAAGGATTGTTGAGAATTAAAAGTAGTAGTGATAAGAAATTTCAAAAAGAACGCAATAAGTTTTCGATATTAAACTATGGAAATAAATTATAAGCTAAATTGTATTAAGGAATAAACGAGGTTATGTTGCCAATTAATTTAGAACAATCGTTTAACCTTAACAAGGAGGGTATTGGTTATAACTCGTGGTAATAAGTTTAAGCTGCGATAATAGGCAAGGGTTGAAACATCGCCGAGAATCCTTCTCGATACAGAATGGTTTAATATTAAATTACAATATTTCCAGTGACCACGGTTTTGGTTATTACACTCCTCCTTGGAATCGTTGCAATTTTAAACCGTATCCTCCAAATTATCAATCTCTCAAATGTAGTTAAACGCGGCAAGTTGAAATAACGGAGTCACTTTGAATTCACTAGCTTGAAATTATAATTTTCAGGGGAATTATTTTCGTCAACGACGTGTAGCCAATGTAAACTCTGCATTTTTTTCGAATTTTTCAAATTTTAAAACTCGAATTATATTACGTTTAAAGGGCGATTCTTCTTTAGAATAAAATTACTATTTTATTCGAAAAGATTGGATAAAAAATTGTTTACTCGTTTACAAAATATATAATATAATAATCTTCTATTCTTTTTTTACGAGAAATATTAGAAACGATAGGAGGTGTTTATCGATATCAACACGCGGTTTATGATGCGGTTAATGAGATGCACGTTAGTTGCATATTATGCTCTCCCTCGAGTTAATCTCGTCGAAGAGAGGAGGGCAAAAAACAGGCCCATTATTCTCTTAATCTAGCCTTGCAAAGTATCTCGGGAAAGTTGGCCGGTAGATACATAATCCGTGGCATTCTGTGGAACATTTTCGTTAGACCATAAATCACGAGGGCTCGCATCGTTACGGTCGTCCTTGTCGTGGCATAATGGCGATCTTGGAGCTAGTAACGATGTCCTCGTGGCACTCACGACCCATCCTACGTACATCCCTTAATTGGAGCCCTGTCCCCTCTTTGCACGTATCCATCCTTCAAATTCTTTTTTATTATTAAAATTTTTAAAATTCGATAGCAAATTTTTGGAATTAAACACATTCACGATTTTAATTCTCCTTGTAAAATAAGATATGCGGAGACACTTGTGATCCTCTCGTGCATTTTTAATAGCATCTTTCGATATTTTGCAATTTATTCGTTTTGAAAAATATCATTTCGTATTTCAGAGATTTAAAGCGAAATTGGTGTCAAAGAATTTAAATATTTACGAATCTTTGCAATCTTCTGCGAGACTGAAGCGAGTACACGTCCGAAATGCTCATACATGCATATACAGTTGGCATCATATCCAGCGACACATATCTTAAAACCTCGATTTATGATGCCAACGGCCGAGAAGCGTTCGATTCAACAGCGCTGCATATGGCTAATGTCTCGCTACCAGGCTGGGGTTAATACTTCTTGACCCCGTTTCTCCTCCGCCTTTTTGGATTCCACTACTTGTGATTTCGCAACGAGGGAAATGAACAAAGTGTGAAGTGATCTTTCATCACGTGCAACGAGACATTGACGCGATTCTTCAAGCCACATTTGTCTTTTTATTCGAGGGAAGCACACTCGTATTATTTTCTCAACTTCTTATTATTCGTAGAATCATGATGATTATTCATAAATATCGTATTTTTTCTTTTCCACTCTAATTTTCACGTTAAATTCACGTATCTATGATATAAATCCGATCAAAAAATTGATCAATCTTGAAGGTTTGAAAGCAATTTTGAAGAGTGCAGTATTTACGCGATAAACCTGAAAGAAATAAATATAAATTAGATATATTTTTCAAGCCACAATCAATTTAATATCATACCAGAAACGCCTGTAACTAGGCAATTGGCCCAGCAGAAATTAATATGGAATTAGATATCGAATCAAGGATTTTTAAGAAGGAACGACAAGATTCTTTTTGAAAATTTCATTTCCAAAGTATGTGCTTGAGCTTTTTCCTTTTCTCTCTCGCGATTCCTGTGAATATGCCCGGCAGTAGCTGAAAAAAAGGGAAGAAGCAGTGACGTTGAAAGTACGTACGACTCGGGATAAACCGAACTGGTATGCGCTTACCGGTAAATGCGTGTTTTCATAAAAGCAGGCAGTTACTTTTCGTGTTCGAATAGACGTGGTTGTTTGCGTGCGACACATTTTTCGTACAGATGTGTGCAATTTTCACATTTTCAGTGGTCCACGCGTGAAAAACTACCTCCCTTTGCCGGGCTGCCTTTTCAAACAAATGCGCAAAGAAGAAGAGCCGTAGGGCTCGTTTCAAGTGGGCAACAAGAAAAACTACCTCGGTTCTTTTTACCATTCTCCGAATGACTATTCACGGAAGATGCTCCCTCTATACCAAGATGCTTCTTAAGCCATTATTCACGTTTCAATACGTATTGGAACTCTAGTTGGAAAGACGTATTGAAACTATAGTTTAAATTTAATTTGCCGGAAAAGAATTTTTCTTCTCCCTTGTGTCTAATCTAATTTATAAAACTTTTGCGATTAATATTTCTTTCTTCTCTTATAAAAAAAAACTTCACAATCTGTAACTTGTTATCGATTCAATGATCATTACTCGATGAATTATTGCACAAGACTTTTTAATTTCTCTATTTACCATTTTCGAAAATATTGGCACGAAAACGATTATTTTATTTTTCGAGAGGAATTAAAAAAAAAAAAAAAAAGAATTGAAGAATTATGATACCAAGAAATTAATGTACACCGATGTAATTTACATTCGTATCTCAATTAAAATGAGTCTAGGGGAGAATAGGTAGGGCATATCGCATCATATCATCCGGTCATTTGTTTATCACGTTATCTCGATGCGTGAATCATTCTTTTCCCAAAACAAACATAAATCCAATAAAAACCGAATAGCTTCGAGCTATCTGGATCCCCTGCACGGAGAAAAATATTCCACCGATATGTGTTCACGCATCGAGTTAAAGCTAATAATAAAGAGGGTGGAGAGTGGAGGAAGGGCGTTGATCAAAGATTGGAAAAACTTGGAGGAAATGAAGTAGCGCGTGCTACTTTTCTTTTTATCTGGCGTGTCACTTCTTAATCAATCCCCTAGTCGGACTGTTACGAGCGTCAATCAAAGCGCCCTTTTTAAACTGCAATCTTGCGGAAACTCGTCACAACGAGTTCCCTTCTTATCGGCTCGAATTAGAAATCGGAATTGTGGCGCGATTGCACGCGACGCTTAGGCGATTTAAATTGTAGGAGGATGGAGAAATTTAGAGAGGGATGAAAGGTTATTTCCCTTGGAGAAATTTTTGTTGAAGGAAGATAGGAAGGCACACGAATAATGAAAATATCGTTGTGCAATGTATTATGCAAGTGTATTTACTTTCTACGCGATACTGGTTGACGTAAATGACCTAGATAAAGAGATTGAAAGATGGTTTGGCGAAAGAAGACGTTGAAGTACTAGCTATTTTATTGGAAGGTTCATTCTTTTCGAAAAATAGAACAATATCTTGTTATCGATTTTACCCGATTAAACAGGCGAGTATCTTCAAGAGAAATTTTTAGATTATAATTCTCAAACATTATGGATAATTTTATCTTGATTTGCATTTTTATGAAATTAATTGACTAACGTTTAACATTGCGAGATAATAAATATTGTTGCAGATAAAATGACCGAATTCTTAATAAAACTATTCGTAGTTTAATTGATTTAATCGATCATTATTAATAATTCCTTCCTTTTTATTTTTCATAATTCTTCAAATATCATTCAACGATACCTCAAATCTCACTTATTTCTATAAATTGATGATTTCATGTGCGAAATCTAATTTGAATCTTTACCATATATTTGAATCGATTCGTATTAGATCCTTAAATGTAACGATGATTGTTGAGAAAAAGATAGACAAAAGATTGCAATCATCCTTGTTGTCTTTCACACACAATGGCATTTGAAAGGGAAATTACGTTCAATTTACTTAGGTAGTTTCATGAATCATCGACTAAGTTTCAAAGTAACCAGAGAGGATTTCGAATCAGATGCAAGCATCCGCAACGTGGTTACCAATACCAAGCAGATTGGCGACCGGTGTTCCATGAACAAGACTTTGAGGTATCTGCTATTGAAAGTCAAAGAGCGCAAGAACATTTCCTGTGACGTGCAACTTCATACAACTATATATATATATATGTAACTCAAGAGTGAGAAGCATTCGTAGATTTACCTATATTTATCCAATATTTGTTCCGTCTTGACAAGCAGCGGTACATATTCGAGAAATGTTGCACACACACATTTAATGTGAACATCTGATGTAAATGCGCAA